ATGCAAAAGAAGATGTGTGGGGCTCTGTGGAAGGAAGAGAAATCAAGGATGACTTCCTAGGGGGGGAGACCACTGAGCTGGGACTTGAAATTTAGGGAAACCCATTGTAGGGACAGCGAGATTCTCCTTACTAGAGAATGCTGATGAGTTGTCAAGTGTGTTTAAATGCATGAGAAGTCTCTGGAATTAGGCATTTGGGTTTGAGCATGGTTCTGCTACCTGCTGGCTGTGTGACTGTGGGTTAGCTACTTAAATGTTCTGAATTCTTATCTCTTCATCTGTAAAATTGGGTCATAATACTTAGTGCTGATGCATGATTAATGTTAGGTGTTGTTTTACAGGACTCGATATCAAGAGTCCACTATCAACTTAAGTCCTAGTAATAAGCAGAATGATTCAGATGGTACCCTGACTTCAGCTTCAGGTGCACATAGTGAGCTCATATGGAATCCTCTTTGGAAGCCCTCTCTCTACGCCTGAGGTGAAGAGAAAGCACCATCCCCTCTGTCCTTGGAGTGGCGGGGAGACTCCTAGTACTGCTTGTGTCCTAATTTTCAATTCCTCCTTTGGGTGCTCCAATTTAACTGTTTTATACCCCGAGTAAGTGAGGGACCAAAGACAGTGAATCAGATTTTTGGACACGTGATTTGCAAGTCTTCTGTGAGGAAACCAGTTTCTCCCTTGGGGGTTAAGGGTGTCATGATAGCTGGGGCGTCTGGGTGGCTCATTTGGTAAAGTATCTGCCTTCAGCTCAGATCATGGTCCCAGGGTCTTGGGATCGAGCCCCTTGTTGGGCTCCCTGCTCAGCAGGAGTCTGCTTCTTTCTCTCCCGTTGCCCCCTCCCCCCGCTCATGCTCTCTTATGCTCTCTCTCTCTCTCTCCCAAATAAACAAAATCTTAAAAAAAAAAAAAAAGGTGTCATGACAGCAATGGTCTGGGCCTCCACCAGCACTGGGACCGGAGCACAGGGATCAGTTGCTCTCCAAACTCAAGAATGGAAGACATAAAGTTTTTGATAGACTCCATGCTCTATACATTTTGCTACTCAAAAGAACTCAGGAACCAAACAGAAGAGGATAAAGCAGCATCCTCGCCATCTGAACTGAGTCTAAACTCATCTCATACAGAGAAGGAGCCGGATAGGCTGGATGCTGTCTAGGTTTAGCGCTGTCTCAGCTCGGGGGTGAGGGGTGTGGGGCGAAGGCGGAGGAGGGGTGCTTGGGGGCCGCCTGAGATAGTGGGTCCAGCATGGTGTCTGGCCTGTGGCAGGCATTCCTCATTCCAGAGGATAAAGACATGGAAGGTTAGGTGCGCCTTCCTTCCATTTTGCAGCAGTGATGGCAGAAACACAGCTATAAATTCGCCAGGTGACCGTTCCATCTGTTTCACAGAGTTGCCCTGGATACAGACATATTGCCGTAATCAGATGAAATCACCGTTTCCTGCCTGTGTGCCTGGAGCCGAGGGAGGGTGTCCTGCTCCCACACAGGCGGCTCCCCACGGCTCTCTGGCCGCAGGTTCTCCTCCTGGACATGACGCATCTGTGGTCTCAGAACATGAACGCGTGAAGCCCTTCATCCCACACTGCTCGCTGCACAAACCCTTCCCGTCCAACACATCGCTCTCACAGGATTAATTAAAAGGACAAGTATCTTTCTAAAAAGCAGAAGAAACTTCTAATGAATTTAAAGTGAGAGAAAAATCCTCTTTCAGGAAACATGTTTTCCCCATGATCCCAACCCAAACATTCAGAAAAGTGCAAAAACATGCATTATTGAAAAGCTTTTTAAACGAGCAACTTTTAGATTAATTTATTGTGATGAATGGACAGGGCCGGTGTGCATCTTGCTGGCCAAGGACCCTGGAGCCTGGGCCTCTGCCTCCCAGCAAGGAGCAGTGGTTCTGCTGCCCCTGTGTGTGCAGGTGGAGGGGAGGGTGGAGGACATGTACTCAGAGGGCCCTGTGTCCTTATTTCTGAGATCCGGAATGCCAAAAGCCACTTGGAGAGAATGTTTAGGTGATAGATGGAAGCCCCCCTCCTATGTCACTCCTGTCGCTATACAGAGATGCAGGTGATGGGGAGACTTAGCTCCATGTGACAGTTGAACAGAAGTGACTCCCATGGCTGAGGGACCTGTCCTCTGCACCCCTGCCTGGAGAGGGGTCATCTGTTCTGCAGAGACAGGAGGAGGATGCAGCCCCACCACAAACCAACTCAGCTAAGTACAACAGCCACCAACCCGGGGTTTCCGGCAATGCCCTCAGCCAGCTGCAGACAATGGCAAACACTGGTCCAGCCTGAGCTAAGCCAGCTGCATGAGAAGACATGATTTAGGAGACCCTCTTCCCCTAATACCAAAAACTTAATACAACCCACTTCTCAGGGAAAAGTCCTCCAAACCCATCCTTCCATAGAGTGGCCAAGTCTTGCCAGGAGTCACCCCAAAGACCCTGTCCTGCTTGGTACGCAAGGACACCAGCAAAACAAACAAACAAAAAAAAACAAAACAAACAAACAAACAAAAAAAACAATTTCAGAGTCTCAGCCTTTGCCAGCCCATCAGCTCTGGTGTTTTAAAATTAAATCCAAAATGTTCTGCCGAAATGTTTGAGATATTACTTTCTGAGTTTTAGTGAGGTTTCCTTAATGTCCATTGATTTCTGGGTAATAAGTTGTACCTATATGTCTCATTTCAATTACCTATTTAACATTCACTGAACCATAAATCCATTCCCAGAGCTATGGAAATTCAGCATAGAGTTCCTATGACTTTGAAAAACCATTGACGCCACATGCTCTGAGTGGCCACATGTCAGGCCTTTATGGCTGGGTTAACTCATTTTGTGGCTTCCTTAATGGCTGTGAGTTTACATTTTATTGCATATCTATTTTTTTGGGTTGGGTTGTGATGAATGGTTTGGCTGCCTGGTTCAAAACAAGTCCAAGGCGATGGCAGAATTCAATTTGCTTTAAAAAATGATGATTATAAAGCTTTTCAAATAATAATCCAGGAAGGAAGGAAACAGATACCACCTCACTCTGCATGGCCAGAGGCGAAGCAATGACTTCCCTCCTCTCCCACGGGTAGCTCACGTTTATAATGATCTTCATTAGGGAGGCCAGAGAGTCCTCTTTCGTCATGGGCAACTAGGACACTCCATTTCCTCGAGGATAAAGCCAGCAGTTTGCTGTTTGGCCTGGATTGATTCCCAGGAACAGAACTCATGGAGCAGAGGCTTCTGCGGTGCTGGGTACCAGGATTGAGCTAAGCAGTACCATGTTCTGCTTAGTGATGTCATCATGAGACATCTAAATAGTGATGCCTGGTGCAGCCTGCAAGTCCTCGAAGTCCAGCCTTGGCCCCTAGCTCCTAAAATGTGCTGACCTTTCCTTTCCTAGCATCTTTTGCAAAGAGGCCTGAAGCCAGAAAGCATCGCTGGGAATATCTTAGAGGTGTCCTCAGGACACTGGTTGCTGCTTTCCTACGTGGAGAGCTGCTCTCCCTGTCATCTGCCCTGACATCTCCTCTTTTCTTGTTCACGTTCTATGGGATTAGAGTCCTCAGGGGGTCTCCATTTGGGAAAGTGGAGAGAATACTGCAAGAGGCAGTGGTGAGGACAGAAGGGAGGGTCTTGTCCAGGGATGTGCAGGTCAATGCCTAATGACTGGCTCTCCAGAGGAAAAAGCATCCCCGCCCCTTGCAGCATTGGTGTGGTATACATTTCTGCAGTGGAAATATTTCTACCATGGCTGGTTTAAAGCTATCAGTTGTTTAACTACAAAATTCTTGAAAATCTAATAATTGGTTCTCGTGAGCTAGGTCTAGAGAACTGCTGATACTGCCACACATTCTAAAACTTTGAGATTTATTTCAAGGCATAAATTACTCTATCCACAATGCAAATACCTCCCACAGCAGGTGAAGCCTACCAGTCATTTACACCTTATTATGAAATACTATACGTCGATACAAGTGTCAGGAGCAGGCAGGGAGGAGGAGGATGGGGAGCCTAGCTAGTCACAGGATATCAAGCAGAGCCCTGTAATTGGGGTTAGACTTTGAGCCTTGGCAACAGGGACGCTGTGAACCAGAAAGGCACCTGCCACCACCATCCCATGTCAAGCTCATGGACACTTCCCACAGGGAAGAGTCACATTCCTTTCTCTCCTCCTGTCATATGAGGACCTCTGCCTCCTACCACAAGAGCCCTTCCTGCCAATGAGTCAGGAGGCCTCCTTCCCAGGCCTGGTGAATGTTTGCAATAATAGCACCAAAGGGATGTCAATGCGGAGCAGGAATACTTTTCCGAAAAGCAGAACTCCTGGTAGAGGTTGGGGTTGGGGGAGAGGATGCCGCGATCTGTGGTTCAGAATCCTCACCGCACCCTGAGGCTTTCACATTTACTCCCTACTACAGGGCCTGCTGTGGGGAGCAGTGAGCTTGCGGATCCCGTCCAACGATGCCCCACGCAGGAACACCAATCACCTGCTTTAAGCCGAGGCCGAGTGTTATTTGACATAACAGGGCTTCCTCTCTTTGGGCCCAAGAGTGTCCCCGCTCTTGTCTCACGTTTGGGCCTGGCAGTGCCATCCCCTCTGCTCACTCCTGAACTATGTGAGCTCTCTGCTGAAGCTCCCTACTCCTGCCTGGCCAAGCCTCCAGAACCCTCCTGCAGGATTTGCCCCCGGTGTGGCCAGGCTGCAGTCCGGAGAAAACCCTAAGAGCCACTCCTTCCAGGCGCAGTCATAGACTCCCCCAGACACAGTTCACCATCCTGGGCTCCTCTAACCATACCAAGGAGAGCCTTTCTCCAAAAGGAACAGAGCAAGCGCTCCCTCTTCCCACCCATGCTCCTTTTGCCCTTTTCTTAAAGGTCAGGCTTGCTGCAAAACAAATGCAAACTGCTTTCATGTATAAAAGAAACAACTCAGGGGTGACTGCAGAGCCCTGCAGCCCAGAGGCTGATTGCACATGGACCCTGCCCTGGGGCTGACTTACGGAAGGCTGTGTAGAGCTCGTGGAGGGCCAGGGAGCCGTCATTGTTGTAGTCATCAAATCGGAGGAGGTCGCTGGGCGAGCACCCCAGGAAGTCCTCCTCTAGGTCCTGCTCCTTCAGCACGTGCTATGGGTGAGGAAAGGGATGAGGTCAGAGCAGGGAGTGAGCACAGGGCTGTGGGTCTGGCTGGGAGATGGCTCAGGTCAAAAGTGGCTGCAGTTGCCGACTGAGAGGGGGGTGAGGGCTCCTGTGATAGCTCCATGTGCCATGGGGAGCACCCCACACTCTGCTTTTCTCTTGCCTCTCTTTCATTCTAGAGATAAGGCTCATAGAGGGCAAGGAGTTTCCCAAGGTCACCCAGTGGTGGGGGCAGAGTCGGGGCGAGTGTTCAGGCGTTTTCCTCTCCATCTGGGTAGACGGACCCCCAGACAGTCTCAGTTAGGCCTGATACTTGGAGATCCTGGTCTACCCTTTTCTGCCACAGATGGGAAAACAGAGAAGAGAGGGGCTTGATCAGATCAACTCAGCAAAGAAAGAGGGGCTCAGTTCCCAGAGCATGGGAATCAAGGGCTCACGGCTTCCAGCTGTGGAGGGCAGCAAGGTCACTGGTGCATCAGTGATGCCTGGCTGCCTTCCCTTGCGCCTCCCCAAAACCATCCCTCCCAGATCTCAGGACAGCACCTCGGAGCCACAGCACCCTTCCCCCCAGAAAGGGGGCGGCTGCCATCCTATGACTTGGCCTGAGTCCCTGGCCTCTGGCTGCCCTTGGGATTCCGGCATGGTGCTGTGCATGTGTCCTTAGGAACTTTTCTCTGCATGTGGCCTCCCCAGCACCATGGGCCACAGGCCAAAAGGTGATCCAGTGTGGAAATTCCAGGCACCCTCTCTCAGCTGGAGCCAGAGGCCGGGGTGTCTGGAACTCAAGCCGTGCAAGGAAAGCGCTCAGGATGAAATCTCAGAAGAAAGGAAATTATTTTATTTTGGGGGGGGGGCAGGGGAGGCCGGAGACATTTTCTCTTTATTTAACAGTCTCAGCTTGGCCTGCTATATTAAAGGCAATTTAATGTGATAACGTTAAAAAAAAATGACCCTTCACCCAGCAAGTAAGTGTTCAATAAAAGGGAGATGAACCATAGCGCCGGAAATCAATCTTCCAAAGATGGAAATTTCCCCTTGTCTATTTCTGCATTGGAAATTGATTGACTTTTCAGAGGACCGACAAGTTTTTCCCTGATGCCTTTGATTCAGTGTCAAGGAAAGACCCACTTTAGCTGGGCTCCGCTTGGCAGTTTTATGAAATGGACTTTAAATACATTAAATTTCAAAGAGGAAACCATAGCTCAATTACCACGCTTGTTAACGGCTTCAGGTGCCCCGGGGCACTTCCCCGCCAGGTTAGAGCGACATGCCCAGGAAGGTTCTGTTTACTTGTCAGCCACCTGGGAGCCACGCAGGGTTGGGGGTGGCGGGAGCCCACAGGTGCTTCTATCTGAGACAAGCCAAAGCTGCCTGTTCCTGCATCGCCTCTAGCATGGGGAACTGCTAGATGGTTCTTCTTTCAGGTAACTGTAACCGATGGGACCTGGGCTTTTTCCCTGAGTGGCTGGGGTCCTCTGTGGGTGGCTGGGTCTGCTCCTTGGGGTCGTAGCCACAGCTAGGAGCCGAGAACCCCTGCAGCTGGTGGCACGATAGCTGAGAGGGCTGGGGTGGTGTGAGCCTGGGAGGCTGTGGGCAGCAGGCCTCCTGGAAGGCAGGCTCGGGATGGACTGGCATGTGTTGCCCAGTGTGGATGAGCAGGGCAGGATCTGCAAGTGCCTTAGGATCTGCGGTTCCCAGCTCACACTGCTAAGCGGGCTCCGGGCTGGCTGTAGTAGAGGGCCTTGTGTGGCAAAGCCTCCAGGTGACTGCTCTGTACTCAGGTTTTGTGGGTACTTTCTGGCCTCACAGACCTTGAGAGGACAGGGTGGAGGCTTCTGGTGGGAGCCATGCTGCCCCAGGGAGACTCCTATGCTGTGAGGAGAACAGGTGCATACACATCAGCCCACCTGTGTCTGGCCTGAGCACTGTCATGTGCTTGGCAGTGAACACAATGCAGGAGAGATGCCTCATTTCTCAGAGCTTGGGTTTCCTCATCTAAAAGTATCTGTGAAGTGGAGATAATGGTAGTACTTCCTACGGCAGAGGATGGCTGTAAGGTTTCAAGGGGAAATAATAACAGAGATAATGACAGTGGCATTGACTCTGAGGCTATGCCACGTGCCGGGCACCATGTGGAACACCCCACATGCCTTGGCTCCTTAAGCCGGCCCACTGACCCTGTGAGGGTCACAGACAAGAAGTGAGTGGGAGACACAGTGAGGGGAGGTTGGCTCCCAGCATCCACTAGCTAGTAAATACCGGAGTGGGGGCTTGAGCTCAGGAAGCTTGGCCAGAAAGCCCTTGTGGCCTACCTGGCCTGTCTGCCATCAGCGTCCTACAGGGGCTGGTGCCCCAGGATTCCTCCTTCTTCACTTTCTGCTGTAGAAGATAACTGCTCCAGCACCCTACCCCCCACCCCCCAGGGCTGGAGTCAGGGACACGTGTGCCGTGCTTGGGGAGGAAGGCAAACCACAGGGTCCGATCCAAGTCTGCTCAAATGGAAGCACACAGCTTGGGAGTAGACACAGGGTTCCTGCAAGCAGGCAGGCTGGGCGTTGGTTTGTTGATATCTAGACCCCAAAGAATGGCAAGATCTCTGGGGAGAAGACTTGGGGTTGCCCAGGTGATGGCCCCCGAGGTGCTCAGGTGAAGCCAGACCTACTGGCTTTCAACGTTCCTGCTAAGGAAAGTAGACGACTCAAGGAAGAGAAGATTAAATTCCTAACGAGAACATCAGAGACTTGCCCCTCTGAAGTGCGTCTCTTGCCAGCTAGCTGAGAGTGCTTCAAAGCTTGTTTGTAAATACTGGCTGAGGGTGGCTGGTGGGAAAACGACGTTGACGTCCGTTTGTTTCTTAGATATTCCCAGAGGCTGTGAACACAAGCTCTGTGACTCCCCGGGGAAGGGCTGCTCTTGCAGGAGAGAGGCCCCCTTAGTCTCCCATTAACGAGACAGTGACAAATGATTCTGCTCACAGGGATCTCCCCGGTTCTCTCCATCTATAACGCCCAATGGAAAACCGGGCTCCTTCACGATTCAGTTTTCAGCGAATGCTGCACCCACCTGAGCCAGTTCAGAGCTGCTGAGTTGGCCGTCCCCATCTGCATCCAAGTCTGTAAACAGAGATTCCACCAGGAGGCGCTTCTGGGAGGCAGGGTCTTGTCTGCTGTCCCCATCTGGGAGTGGCCGCTGACGGGTCTGGAGGGCCAGAAGGACATTCTTCAGGCGGGCATAGTCAGCCACGGTGCATGGGTCATCTGGAAGAGACCATGAAGTTACTGCAGCAAGGCTCCTCCGTTGCTGTGGAGAGAATGTTACCCGACCCTCTCACAGAGAGTTCTTGAGCATTTACTGTGGGTCATGGGGGGAGCACGTGGGGTAGATGGGGCTGGTCTGTCCGTCTGCCTGCCAATCCATCCTCTCGATGTTTACTAAGCACTGAATACAGCTTCACAGGATACACATGCTGGAAGGAGCCACTTTGCTTATCCCACAAATATTTATTGAGCACCTACTACATGCCAGACATAAGAGCAGTTGCAGTGGGGAAGCTGGCCCAGGGGAATTCACAGTGGCAGCCCACAGCAGCTTTAGGAAAGCCGGCCCCAATTCCATTCTGTAATAGCTCGTCTTTGCCTTAATCCCACCTTAAAGGCTGCTTTTGAATACTTGGCCTCATAGATTAGGGAATTTGAGTTAACAGGACTAATAAGCCCTGCTTGAGTTAATTAAGTACATTCCCAGAGCTGGATTACTTCAAAACAAACATGTGTACACAAGTCTATGACCAAGAAACAAAAAGAAGCTTTAAGAAATTAAAACCGAAGCACACAGCCTGTGACTCCTTGGTCTTTTATCTCAGGCGTGCTTGCCCAACAGCATCAGAACCACTCAGCGTTTTGGCAAATGAGGCCCGTGATGCACAGTGACATGATGTAGTTTATCTTGCTGGTGACGGGCCAACTGGGGTGAACGCCACACAGGGCTCGGCTCAGAGCTGAGGCTGCGGGGCTATTGGCAGAGCAGGGTAGTCCCTCCAGGCCTGCTTTCCTACCTCCTAAGGGACGGAGGGAGCGTTTTGGCACTGGGCTTTGCTATGTCCGGGGCATGGGCATGGGCTGGTCCATCCCATTGGAGGCCACTGTGCAGCTGGTGGCTCTGCTGGGAAGGGACTGTCGGGTCCAGGGCTCTTCCCTTTAAGTCCAAGTCCGGTGTAGGGCACTAGGTAATAGCTCAGGGTTGGGGAGTCAAGATAAAGCAGTGCTGGAGAGCACTGGCTCTGGAGTCCACTGAGTTTCAGTCCTGGCTTTGCTGATACCCGAATGGGTACCTTGGACGTGGTGCCTCGGTGATTTCATCTGTGAGGTGGGGACGACAGTGTCCTCCCCCTGGGGCTCTAGGGAGAGTTAAATGAAACACCCACATAAAGGGCTCAGTGCTGCCTTGGCACTGAGTCAGGGCCTGTAAAATGATAGCTACTCTCCCCCTCCTCGATACTGAAGCCACATTTGCTGAGGAGCAACACACAAGGAAGGTATTTGGTGTGGAAAGGCTGATGGGGCATCTGTCTGTCTGTCTCCCTCCCTTCCTTGACAAGCCTGGATAGCCCAACCACTTTTTCGTGTGCTTGTTTGTGTTTCTAGATTTTCTTCTAATTTGGGGTCAATTGATTCTCGTCACAAACAGATGCCTGTTACCATTTTCTGCTGCATGTTTATTTAGAAAAAAATCAATTGTTGTGTTCAATATAATCAAATTTATTTGCTCCCTGGGAGTCTCCATGCTCTGACAAGAATGGCTCTCCCATCCCCCTAATGTGGCTGGTATCCCTCTTTGGTCTGGTAGCTATGCCCATTCCTGGGAGCTCTTAGGGTCCCCAGTTGACGATTTGGATCCTCAAGCCCATAGAGGCTCGCAGTGTGAACAGCAGTGGCCCTGTCCCACTACAAACTCACTCCTGCCCTGGGGGAGGTGTGATGGCCTGTGGGCCTTTTCTTCTTCCTGGTCTGGATAAAAGTCTGTTTGGGGCAAGGGAATTAGTTTTGTCCCAACCATACCCCCTGCCCCCAGCCCCCAGCAGGCTGAAACGTAGGCCTGGCAAATGGACCAGAAGTCAGGACATGGTACACGAGCAGTGTGGATGTTGGAGGGAGGTTCCTGTGTAGAGCATGTGCAGGGACCAGGCACAGCCGGGCCCCTGGAGGGCTGCACGAGGCTAAGGAGGATGGGCCAATGCACCTCATTCCTCCTGGTCCCTCCCACCTTCCTCACCGACAGCAGTGGGGCTCAGATCTGCTGGGAGCTTCCTACTGCCCTGGGCAGGGCCCCCACACCGGCAGGCCAGCGAGGCCCAGGGGGTGGGTCCCACCATCTGGGTCCCATCAGGTGCAGCCACCACTCCAGGCTCTGCTCCTGCTACATCCTGAGAGTTCCCTGTGAGTTCAGGCTTCTCCACCCCGGCACTGCCCAACGCATGCCTCCTGCTCAGGAAGGTATGCATGTGTCTATGAATCAACCTGGAGACAAGGTGTCAGGAAGGGTCCGTTCCCTGGACCCCCAGTCTTGCCCCCCGCTAGCGTCCTCCCTGGCCATGCAGCTCCCACCCTCTGCCACCATTCACTTCCAGGGTCTGTGCCAGATGCTCGTGGCATGCTGGGACCCAATGGAGCTTCCAGTCCTGGGCATCAGAGGTGCCCATGGAGGGGGAGCTTGGGAGGCTGGGGTGAAGGTAGCCTCCCTTGGGGAGCACTGGCCAGTGTGGGCCCTGAGGGACGAAGGACAGGCAGGGTAGATGACACCAGGCATCAGGGAGGATACAGGCAGAAGCAGGCAGCATGGCGTCTGGAGAAAGCTGATGTGGAGGCCGAGTGAGTTGAGGAGGAAGGGAATCCTAAATTCTTCTTTGTCCTAGAAGCAGTTGCACTTTACATGAATCTCAGCCTCAAATAATGAAACCATTGGCTCAATGTTCCTGAGCCCCTCTTGTGTCTCTGTGGCTTTGGGGAGTCACGAACACCAGGTGCCATATCTGCACCCACAGAGCTGGCCATTTTAGATGAGTCCCAACCCTCTTGCTGAGACACCCTTTGATGCTTCATTTCCAGCAAGGATGGTCCTCGGGCAATCCCCACCCTGGGCAGGCCTTGGTTTCCAGGATGCTGAGCCGCCTAGCAAGGCCCATAAAAGTCCCACTTGTATTTTTTTCCTTCCCGCCCCCTGGTGTCATCATGGGAGCAGACGACTGTGGCTCACTGAGAGGAGCCGTGGGCGTTTGTGGATCTGCTAGACCTGGCCTTCAGCTAAAAGCTCTTCATGTTGCTGCCAGTTTTAAACAGTTGTCTTATTAGGAAAGAAATATGTGTCCATCAAAGAATGCTTGGAAAGTACAGATGAATATAAAGAAAGAAAAGACATCATTCAAATCCCTCTCCCAGTGGTGGGAAGGAATTTAAGCAGGACACTCCGTGCAGGAGATTCTAAGCCCAGGAGCCAAATGAGCTGAGCCCCTGGCTGGCCCTGGTTCACCTCACAGGGTTTTCCCTTACTCAGCTTGGATAAGAGAGGGTCAGTATCCCAGGGTTGGGTTCTTATCTTTAGCTAGGTCATCCCTGACCCTCACCCAGCAAGCCCACACAGGGGACACGAAGAGGTGGGGGTGTGGAGGGACAGGCTGGCCACTAGATCATGCTCCTGCTTGTGGTTGTGGCTTCCCCTCCACCATCTGGAGTGCCCTTCACCCAAATCACCAAGCTTCATTATCCCGGCCCCTGCTGAGACATCACTGCATCTAGGATCCCTGCCCCTATCTGGGGGCGGGCCTGGGGCCCAGGGGGCATGGGGCATCACTTGTCTCTGAAGCAGAGCAGGGCCCAGTCTTTAACTTTGGCCTCTGGACCCTTGGCCTTTGGAGGGAAGGTCTCTGAAAGGGGTATAGCAGAAGCCTGGAGACCACAGTCCTCCTCCTTGGGTCCCTGTGGGTGCTGACCATGATAACAGTGAGAATGGCAATGGCCAGCCCTTCCTGGGAGCCCCGCACCAGGGCCGATTCCTGCTGCCTGTGCAAGTCAGTTTGAAGTAGAGTTGCATTTCCCCACTAACTGATTCATGGCTGCTGGGACTTCCAGAGAGAACTCTGCAGAGTCGGATGCTTGCAGGTGATGCTGAGGTCTGTGCCCAAGCCAGCTCAGCAGGGGCTGTTGAGCTGGGATGTGGAGGGGGTCTGTTGTATGCATGAGTGGGATGGATGCAATCCACCCCGCAGACATTTCTCTCCACGTGCTAGGAAAGTCATTTAAAGGTTTCCTCTGAGTCTAGGTGGTTTCCATGTAAAGAGAGAGATTTGTGTCATAAGGGTGCCCTGGCTGGGCCAAAGCCTATGGTCAGGCTTGGAGAGTTCCAGGGAGGTCCCCTGCAGGCCCATAAGCTCACTGAGCTCTGACCACAGCCGATGCACACCTGTCCTGGGGCCTTCTCACAGGCTTTCTCCTCACCTCTTCTGTCTGCTTTCTTCAGGGCCCCAGCCCAGCCTTCTCTGCCAGGGAGCCTTGCTCCTCCTGCTTGCACACATAGACCTGCCTCCTTGCATCTGGTTTCCTACTCTGCCCAGTGTGGATTGTTTTTTGTGAGGCCTGTGCTCTTAGGTTGGGCTCTGGGCTTATACAGAGCAGCTCATGATGCAAGGATCTAGGCTGAGTAGTATGTTTGGATGTGAACTCAAGAAATGTGCAGAAGGGAAGTGAGACTGGAGAGGGGGGCAGCCAATGAACCATCATGGGTTGCCACTCTGGGCGGCTGGAGCTCGGTCCCATGGAACCTTCTAGGGACTATGTCCAGCAGGCCTCAGAGCTGCTCCACTCAGATGAGAGGGTGCAAAGCACTCTTCCACCAACTTCTGTCCCTTGTTGGCTGAGGGTTGCTCCTGGGGTACTAATGACCACTTCATCCAGCACTTCTGGTCTCCCCACATGAAGCCCTGGAATACTGAGGACTACAAGGGCCCTGAGGATGGAGATGCAGGTACCCAAGGTGGGAGGCTGTTGGCCAGTGTCATGGACAGCTGTCCCCCAAAGCTACATACAATCTTGAGGTTGATTGAGGGAATCTGGATGGAATGTTAGCATCTCGTATATCTCCTCCATGGAGGATACTGCAAGTTCCGGGCAGGTGGGACTGGAGTGGACAGCTGCTCATGCAGCGCTCAGGTATGAAAGGTTTACCGAATGAGTTCATTAGGGAATATGGTTGGGAACCGAGTCTT